GGTCTCTCCTGGCATCGTTTCCGGAGAAGCGCGTGGGACGTGTACTCGATCTTCTCCGTTGCAGGTACTTTCGTCACGTCGATTCTTGTGTTAGCGAAGGAGGATGTTAGGATAATCGTCCAGCTGCACAAGCTCTTCCTCGTATCCATCGCTCTCATGCTCATCCCTCGGAACAACCAACTCGACCAGCTATTCAAGACTGCGGCAGCAAGTCTTGCGTCCATCGCCAACCTTCTTGCCACATGGTTCGTCCTGTTCTTGGTATATGCCATCGCCCTCACCCAAACCTTCGGTCTCACCAGATTCGGAGCCAATGAAACTGGAAATGTCAACTTCCGGACCGTACCCAAAGCACTTGTTTTCCTCTTTGTAACGAGTGGTGGTGAGGGTTGGAACGAGTTCATGGAGGACTTCGCCAACGTCGACAAACCTTACTGCACGGTAGGCGACAAGTACTTCAACAGCGACTGTGGCAGTCCGGAATGGGCGCGAGCTTTGTTCATCACTTGGAACATTTTGAGCATGTACATCTTCGTCAACTTGTTTGTTTCGCTGATATACGAAAGTTTCAGTTACGTGTATCAGAGAAGCAGTGGGTTGTCTGTCATCAGCCGAGAAGAGATCCGCCGCTTCAAACAAGCTTGGGCAGAGTTTGATCCTAACGGGACAGGCTATATCTCAAGGGATGTGTTTCCAAGGCTCCTGGGTGTAGGTTTATCAATGTTCGTATCAAAGCGCCAAGCTAATAACACTAGGAACTCTCTGGTATCTTTGAGATGCGTATTTATGACGGCGACTTTACCGTCGGTTCCTTGATCGATGAATGTGCTGTAGCACCTCGAAGGGAATCCAGCCTCCCAGTATCCGGTCGTGAGCCGACTAAAGAGATCGATCTTGACAAGCTGAACCGTCGTCTCGCACAGCTACCGATCGCGGAAATACGTCGCAGACGACAACGCATGAACATTTTCTATGAGGAAGTGCTTGTGTCAAGTGACCCTGATAGAGGTATCCAGTTCTCTTCATTGCTGATGATCCTGGCTCATCACAAGGTCATCAATGATAATAAGAGCTTGAGATTAGAGGAGTTCTTGAGGCGCAGAGCTCGTCTACAAAGAGTCCAAGAAGCTGTTCGCCGCAACGTGGTTGTTGGTTTCTTCGACACATTATACTGGGCACGACGCTTCCGCCGCGCCATGGATCAAAAGAAGCAGGGACGTATGACAGCAATCCCGCAGTTCACCGTTCCCGAGATCTTCATCGACGATGAAGACATTACAGACGCCCAACGAGGGCAATCTTCCGGACCTCCCAGTCCTCTCTTCTCACCCCAAGATCTCTACGCACCCTCCCCTCGAAACTCGGCTGGTCAGTCCACGTCGCCACCAGCTTTCCCCTACGACCGCACACGGAGCAGAACCAACTCAATACAACAGACACCAACAGCCTCACCTACACGGGCAAGTCCGCAACCATCTCCCTTCTCTCTGTCTGGAGAAGAGCAAGAATGGCAGTTTGCTTCGGCACTTAGTCGGCCACCTAGTCCTCTCGAAGTCGATCCCGGGCAAGCGGGTAGTCGTAGCCGTGGAAATAGCGCAGTCAGTGCGGCAGATGTTTTGGAAGTGCTTGATAACTCGGCATGGGGTGAATCGATTAGGAGGAGTTTCACCCAAAAAAGGCGTAGTTAGCGTCCGATGGGATTTGTTTATGACCGCTGAGAATATGCATGGCGTGTGTCAATCACGTCGATCAAAATGGCTTGGTACGGCTTCGGCAAAGGGTCGAGCCAGAGTCGGATGGTTCAGAGTGGTGCACGACACGAAGCCTGTTGCATGAACGTCTGGAATGATTGGATACGTAGGCGGCTGGCATCAACCCGACACGCAACGCTGGTATGGGACTGATGGGTTGGATCGGTGTTGGGGTAGTGCTTGTAACGGTGTAATGTCGGTGGTGGAGTTAACTTTTGGCATTGCATAGCGTCGGCGTTGAGCGATTGATCAAATCACCTTAGATATTCCCTATCACAAAGCTTTACTTCTCTCCTGCCGGTGGCTGTTTTCATCACTTGGTCGACTTTTGATTGAAGGATACGAGAGTCGTTGGTACTAGTTCGCAGAGTGGCGCATGAGGTTGTCTGGTACACTACTCAACGTTTATCGTGAACCTGCCCAGGATCTTGCCATAGCACGCTTGCCAACGAGCAACCGTACCATGGTACAGAAAATGATCGGACAGCATATGCTGCATGAACATGCTCAGGTGACAGACGCTAATTGTATCTTCCGCCACTTTGGATTGGAAAGTGCTGTCGCCCGTTCCTGATTTACAGCTAGTTTTCAGCTTCTTCCTCTCTTCTAGACCTAACAAGGACCACGCGAACATAATGCACTAGTAAATACGATCGCCCCGCACGTCGATAGAAGCTGCATGCGCACCTGAAACGTTGATCGGCTCATCGCTTCTGCTAAGGGTGCACTTGAGTGTGGTGTCCACCGGACCCCCCTCACATCAAGAGCCGTGAGCACAATGCATACCAGTCTTTGCTACGTCTACAACAAGTTCCAACGTTGACACATCACTACGTAGCATCACACCGGAGCATCAAAAACGCGTCTGCATCTGTTGAACGTCCGCTGCGTCTGAAACACTGGTCTGCCGTCAGATAGCTCGGCGAACTAGGCTATTCCACTTTCGGATACGCTCGCCTGTCGCAGATTCTTGCATCACACACGCAGCACCAGGTCTCGAGACAGGCCGTTTAAGCATGGAGACATTGTGAGCTTCATGTGCTGGGTAATGCCTTCTTATGGCTGGTGGGATGCACGCAGGAAACAACGGCCAGGGTGGTTGCGTCTGAACTGGCCGAACTAGGAACGGCTTGACCGGCTCCAGGTCGATGGCGAGCGGAAACCTCTCCGATCATCGTGCCTACTCAACAAGTTTATGGCTTGGACGTGATGGCGGACCTCCCTGACGATGATGCAGAATGCCGGTGTGGATGACAGCACGCGGACACCTGCAGAACGCGTCGCGCAGAAAAGCAACAACAACAACGTCAACAAAAACATAGACTAGCTAATCGCCGACGTAAGAATAGCTACGGCAACCCTCACAATTTCTTGTGAAGCCACCAACAAGTCGGCCATCAACGATTCTCCACGACAAGTGAGGATGATCCTGTCTCTACACATGGCCATGCAATCTCTTATCGATTGCAGGCTCCTGAGAAATGAAGCCATGCAATCATTCCGCGGCACAATCAATGGGCACAGCATGTCTCCCGCTCGCTTGTTTCTAGACCGGTGATCAAACGAGGCTCTTACCCCTCAATTCACGCGTTCCTGACAGGGATGCCGCTGCTCCGTCTGTCCAAGGTTTTAGCTCTGGGACGTAACACGCACTGGCACAGAGCACATGCGACACGCAGCTTAAGGATCCGCGAGTCCGCTGTTTTTCCAACAGGAATACCTTTGTGAACTTCCTTCTTCATCCCTTTACATACCTTCGCTTTCGTGTATCTGTGCGCGCTTCTGTTCTTTGCCCCATCTATCCATATATACCTTTGAACAGAGTTGATCTCCCTTCGACACTGCCGCAATTTACTCGAAGCTGGTCTACATCACGAGACTTTTGTTGAGCTCTCGCCTCCACGCACACCCGCTGCATTACACGTCATCCCCTCTGATTCGCAAGCCGACCCTCAGAGCCAACATTCGTTGACGTACCCCCCAATCCCAACTACATTCCTTACATTACTCTTCCCAAGGACAGCTGGTCCTTTCTACACCAACCTGCCTTGTCGGACCCCACAAACTTCACCTACTCAACCAACGGGAAGTTACATTATATCGACTGCCGGACCAAGAAGCAAATACTACCATCACAACATCCGACTAATCACCAATCTACTTTCCATCGCTACCACTCCGAAGGACCAACCCAACAGCCAAAATGCCTTCTCCAAGCCGCACCAACCGCTTCCAATCCTTCACTCCCCTCCGAAGCACATCCGGATCCCTCCGTCGGCTTAAGACTGCATTTAGCCCAAACCGCAACTCAATGCGCTCCGCCTCGCCATCATCCATTACTTCCTCAAGCACTACGCCTCTGACCCGCAACTCTTCGCCACACAGCCACCGCTCCTCAGGCTCATCCATCAGGCAACTGCTCGCCGTCCGTCGCAAGCCCAGCATGTACGAGTTCGAGATGGAAGAGGAGAAGCACCTGTTTGAGCAAGAACTCGATGTCCTCGAGCCACGACCTAGCATGGGCCGCGGCACAAGCGAAGTCCACGTCGTCGGCATCTTTGAGGTTCTTGACGGCAAGTGCTAGTTTGGCCCATGTCATGTTTCGCATGTGTTTATGAAAGTTTAATGGGCGCGTTAACCATTTGGATTCTTGCTCTTCAATTCGTTTAGATTGGGTCTATCACGGCAACGGGGACAGTGGCGTCAATTCTGGGTTTCTTTGAACATTTACCCGCCTTCGGGGATGTTGGATTGGTGCCTTTCTTATACCCCAATGGACTGGATTGGACTGGGGCTCTGGTTGGGTTCTTCATCATGTATCATGGAGATTATGAATATGAACAGACTTTCTACCAATGACTTGTTGCTCTGTTACGTGTGCGTCTTGCTTCTGTTCTTGTGATACCCATACGATATAAGGTAATGCCCTGACACTAAACACTTCGACCTTCGGCGTTGGCTGAAGAGCAATATGCATGTTCGATCTCGGGTCTATTTGACGTCACGCATGAGACGGCAATCGTGAGCATGATAGACCCGTCGATAGGCGTCGCAGCTTGTACATGTCATGAGTACGGTATGTGTTGAGGTAGATCATAGTAATGACATTGGTATTTCAAAAAGCAGTCTCAAATGTACCTGCCGTGCAATTTCAAACGCCACGCCAATGCATACGGTCAGCGACCTTCCACCCTTCATCCAATAATATCAAAACAAGGGCTTGAACAAAACATATGCCCACGAAACCGCTTAATATACACCATTGACAGGCTGCTGCAAGTTATCGAGCTCTTCCTTCCTCTTCCTGTACAGCTCTTGTGCCTCCCTCTCCCTCTTGGTAACGAACTGAACTTCGTTGCGCAAGCTCTCCAATCTACGTGCAATCGCAGTTTGCTCACTGTATTGTGCCGTCCTCGCTGTGTTCAAATCATCTCTAGCTCTCTCAAGTGCTGAAAATGCGCCACTGATCTTCTCACGTAATAGATTTGACCGTTTGACATATCCTGCGTGGTGTGTAGTTAGGCGCTTCTCGATCTTGTTCGCACGTTCTGCTGCTTCGATGATGGACTCTTGCGCATTGTCAAAAGCTTCGACAAGAAGTTGGTGCTCGTCGATTTCGTCTTCCTCGTAGCCCGCAATACCGGGCAGAATTTTCGAACCGTGAAGCGTGGTCCACGATGTATTGAGGTCTGCGTGGAAGGCCTTCTTGTCTTTGTCGGTGGTCATCGCAAGCTCAAGAGCAAGCTCCATCTTAGCATTCCGTAAAGCATCGTCCGTCATGGATTCAACTCGTTGTGCTGTACCGGTAACCCGCCCATCTCCAAACTTCTGGACGTCGTTGGCAATGAGCTTGGCCATTTCGATCTCGATTTCGCGTTCGACGGGGTCAGAGAGGTCCAGCGCGCGCTTCATTAGCACGTCGATGTCGACTACTGATGGCCTTGGGAGGAACTTCTGCACGACTTGCGTCTGCCTGCCGAACTCTGCAGCTTCTTGGGCTTCGCGCGCCTCCCGAGCTTTTCGGTCCCGTTCAGCAGCGTCTTCTTCGCTGACTTCAACTTCCATTTGATCTGTTTGCTCTTCAGGAAGTTCAAACTCCCAGCTTTCTTCTTTTGGCTTCGGCAATGCAGCGAGTCTGCTCTTAAGATCTTGACGCTTTGCCTGCTCCCTTAGTTTGATGTCGCGAGGTGTCTGTCCAACCAGTTGCATGCCACTCTCTTCGCCATTCAGGCGTAGGGTGTCACGAGGAGTCCGCATGGGCGTCGCTCCTGGTATCTGTCGCATAGGTGTATCTCCGACTGCGCCATTGGCTTGTCTGAATGGTGTTGCCATGGGATTTGGCGTCACAATCTGGTGTCGCGAAGCAGGTCCGGATAACGAAGCAGGCGCTTCATCGTCAACGAGATCCGGGTTATCGCCACCTAGTAGAGCGGATTGCGTTTCTGTTCGCATTCGAGCGTTTCGTACTTCGTTCGCGACGTAGTCCTCCTCCTTGGGTGCCATGGGTGTACGAATGGGAGTGTTGCCAATCACATTCGAATAGTTTCCAATCAGACCCTGAGTCGCCATGTTATCGCTACTGCCTGCAGAGATTGCGCGTTGTCCCGTCGTTCCCATCTTGACGATATCTTCCAGCTCAGCTTCTCCGACCTGTGGAGTTGGAAGCACAAGAGCGCGGCGCTTGCTGCTCTGCTCTGCTTCCCGTATTCTCTGTGCCTGTGCGGCCTTCGCATACGATGCAGCAAGACCTCCTGACTTCTCGTCTTTCTTCTTCTTCCTGTCACCTCCCCCGTCTTCCTGTGACTCCATCTTTCTCTTGTTTGCAAGTTGTTGCTTTCGCGGATCGAAGGCCTCTCGTTGTTGTTCGTTGCGGTCAATTTCCTCGGTAGTATCGAAGAAACCAGCGGGAACTTCCTTCTCGAGCGGTACGTCGGCGTTGTAGTCGATGTGATTGCCTTTCTTCGGAGTGATCTTGATGTTGATACCAGCCGCTTTCAGTTCTCGTCGCTTCTGAAGCAGGGCAAGCCTTCTTGATTCCTCCAGTTGCCGCTCGCGAGCCTTCCGCTTGGCCTTCTTACCACTGACGTTTGCCAAACGCGCACGCGCCTCTGACAACATCTCCTTGTCTTCCTCATCGATGTCAACCGCATCGGGTCTTGCGGGACGGCTCTCGGCGTATGCGTCGACCTCTCCGGGACGAAGGCGCCGTACATCCTCTGCTGAAGGAGCGGCTGAATCTCCGCCCTCCGGGCCTGCCAGTCCAAGATCACCAGATTCCCTCGACTCTTGTTCGTCCAACAGCTTTTGGTAGCGCTCGAGACATTGGGTGGCCTAGGTGACGTTAGATGGGTATTTCAAATAAAGGGGACAGTTGCGGCTACATACCGTTCGTCCAACAATGGGCGCAATAGTTCTCCACTGGGTAGGGAGCAGTTTTGCCATGGTCAGAAGCTTTTCATCCTCCTCTCGCGACCAGTCTGTCTTCCGGATGGCGGGGTCGATCCAGTTTGTCCAGCGAGATTTGCATTGTTTCGCGCTCTTCTTGGACAGCAGCGAGGCGCATCGCGACCACTGATTCAGCCCATACTTGCTGATGGCAGCCTTCAGCACCTCGTCCTCGACGTTGGACCAGGAAGATGTGACGACCATTGTGGATGACTTCCGGGGGTTATGGTGGGTTGGCGCGCGTGTCGTGGAGTGATGGTATCCTCAGTCGCGAAACTGAAAATGGGCTGCATGCACTAGCGCCTTGGCAACGTCAAGCACCGCGCGGAATGAGCAAAGCGAAGTAAGTTTACGTGTCGACAGGACGAGAAGTCGCGTGTCCGCGAGAACTTGTACTGCCCAGGAATAGCAAACTTTCGTGTCAGACGTTATGCACTCATGGTTCATCTACCCAGTCACGGTTCAGGCACTCAGCTTTCACGTGAGTGAGGCGACCGCGGTCACAGTGACGTAAATTCACTGTTTCAATCTTCCTGAATTCCTGTTGCCACGATTTCACTACACACCCTCCTGACCAGAGTTCTTCTATCATGTTATCTCTACGGCAAATCACAGGGCGAGTTCCTATTCGTTTCCTCATCACGCCGCCCTCAAAAGCAACCAGTCGGCAAATAGTGCCACCAGTTATCTACACCAGAAACTACTCAGATGCAAAGCCCCAAACCCCAAACCCGGTCAAAGACAATGCTCAAAAGGCCGATGCCAAGTCTCCAGAAGAGATAAAGCCTAAAAAGAAAACGCAAGCTGAGCTCGACGCGGAAGTGATGGCAAAGCTGGCCGGGCACGACAGTGAGGGAGGAGAAGCTGGCATCGAATACGAAGATGGGAAGCCAGCGTCCATGAAGAGAAGCGTGAAGAACAACATGTTCAGATACATATGATTCAGTATTTTTCTGAAGTCTTTGCTGAATACGGTGCAAGCGTTCACGAGGTATATATTTTTCGTAGTGTGCCTTAGCCTCGTATAGACTAACACTCAAAGATACAGCAGCCATGAAATTTGCGATGCGCGTCTCAGGTCAAGAGGTTCGGTGGACGTGCTTGAAACCACCATTCTGCTTGTGCAGTACATGAAGCCCAGACAGGAAACCTCATGCAAGTAGTACGACGACTGAGACCATACATGGTCCAGGCGACTATTGTATAGGCCCCTGAAGCCCTAGAACCAGCTGCAATCTGTAATTATATTCAGTGAAGCAAGTCAGTAATTAGTTCGCTTGGAAACAAATCTATAGTAGCATTGTGGCCATCCTCCGCTGATGGGAGAGGTTGCACAACCATCGTAGTCGAATGGCGCTGGGTCTGATTGCTGACATATGGGGCATCCTGTACGGCAATATGCTACATAATAGCATTTAATTTTTGGTCCTTTGAACGTCATTACGCAACATGAACTGTTTGGTACCACGCGGTAGATCCAAAGTCGCCAAATCGAATATTTGCCTACGTCATGAGTTACCAACCTAACAACATCGCGACTCACGTCCAACATCAAACCCCCACAACAACACAGCATTAGTAAGATCTTTCTGTTTCTCGTACCAGCAAACAACCATGGAGCACTATGCCCCTCACCAATCATCGCAATTCGAAGGCTACTACTCCAAATTCGACCTCGCATCTGGCGCGCATATTGCTCTTATCATATGCTCCGTGCCTGATGCGTCCTCACGCCCGCACATGATTTCATTTACCTACTACCCTTCCTCTGGTCACCCAATATTCCAGCGCGAACATTTTGTTGATAACATTGAGCGCGTGACAACTGACGAGAAGAGCAAAGCGTTCGAGGTCCGGGTACCAGGCATAGGATTCATGAGGACCGAGGGTGACGGACGCACAAGCTACAAGCTGGAGGGCGAGGACGGGAGTTGGAAGCTTGAAGCGCAATGTGAGGAGTACACCGCGTGGAGAGAGGACAAGAGCACGCCAGAAGGATGGATGATCAACCTCCCATTTCCGTTACATTGGCACGTACATTCTCTTTGCTCTCCGGCTACATTCACCCTCGATATACCCGCTCTTGGCGAGGATTTCCCGACTCAAGATAGGAAAAACCGCGCTACGATCCATCAAGAGAAGAACTGGGCCAACAGTTTTCCCGATGCACATATGTGGGTGCAAGCCTGGGACAACGATCAGAAACGCGGTATTTGTCTGGCTGGCGGCAAGATCATGTACAATACTGCGTATATGCTTGGTTATCGATCCCCATCTCTCAACCTCGATTTCGTACCACCCTTCTCGGTGTCTTACCTGAACCTTGTTAGCCCCTTCATGAGCGCCACAAACGACTGGGATACACGCTCTTTCTCTATATCTGTATCGAACTACTTTCACAAACTGGAGCTCAAAGCCCAAGCGCCAAAGGAGCCGGGCTGGTTCGGCCTAGCGAGCCCATTTCCAGATGGCCATCGGGCAAACTTCTGCAAGGAAAGTTTTATTGCGACGATCGAAGCGAAGATTTGGGAGAAGGAAGGGTGGTGGCCGTGGAGTGCGTGGAAGGAGGTCAAGACAGAGAAATGGGAGGGCGCGAGTCTGGAATTTGCAGGAGGATACTATCCAGAGAGGGGAGAGACCAAGAAGGACTGAAGACATAGGGGCTAAGGCAAGTACATTAGTGGCATGCAGTCGGTATTCAATTATGATATCAATGTGTCTATAGTTCGAACGGAACGCCCCCGAGAGTATCCTGGGACTCTATCGTATCTCCGATGGATTGGGTTTCAGAGCTTCGACTTCCTCTCCTTTGGCTTGAACAACTTATCCAACTCTTGCACAAAGCGCTCAGGCAACATTGTTCTCTCTACTCCTTGCTTTCCTTCCCACTCCTCCTCCGTTAAGCGTTCCCAATCCCAGTATCTCTTCATCTCTTGACTGACCCACTTGCTGATATGATCCGCACTCTCTTCTACTTTCTCCATGGGTATCAGATGCCCTGCACCTTTCACCATGACATTTACTACCCGTCCTTCTGCGCGTCCGCCGCTACCATTTACACCAGAGCCGGTCAAGCGCATCTTATCCTCAATGGCTTTGTCGTCAGTCAGGAATGAAAGTTCGCCAAAGATGTAGAATACCGATGGCCGGATTGAGGGTAGTTGGTTGAAGACAATGGTGGATTCGCCTCGGTAAAACGGTGACTGAAGGTTGGCGGTGGGTGTCATGTCTGCATGCGTCCTCCTGTTAAGCTTCGAATTGGTCAATGTGAACTCTGCAGAGGAAGGCTCTTTATCCCCAGGTCTGGCAGCCAAGTTCGGTCGCAGGAATGTCATGACCTCCTGATGCTTCGTAGTGGTCAGGGTGACCTCGGGCTTCTTTGCATCAGGGAACAATTTTGTTGGTACATCTCTTAATCCATACTGCACCCATAGGTCTAACACCCGCGGGTCCCACGCCTGGTAAAACTTGCTCTTGCTGAAACTCTTCGCGGCTTCTTCTCGTGATGGCCAGAGCTCACGTCGTCTTGATGATGCAGCAGCTGGCCCAACATTGCCGTTCAGTGAAACCTGGCCTTGGATGACAGGGTCGACGAGGATCAGGGTTTCGAAGAGACGGGGATGCAAGAGGGCGAGATTGGCAAGTTGGCAACCACCCATGCTATGGCCAACACCGATTATGGGGCGAGGCATTTCATCGCGGAAAAGATTCACCATGTGCAGGAGATCTCTGCTGTGGTCAAGCCAGGCCGCTATGGAATGTCAGTGTGTAACCTTGTACTTGAAAAGATGTACGTACGGTCGTTGCCTAACTTATCTTCGTTCAAAACGCTGCTCCAGCCTTGATGCACAACATCGGCTATCCATATACCTCTGATGCCGAAGCCATGTTGCTGGCTCTTCTTTAGGAGCTCATCCCATAGTGGTTCATAGAGTTCTTTTGGAAATCCATTTGCATGCGCTGCGATGATAGTAATGTCTCCGGGTTTGGGGCTGGTGTTGCTGAGGGGTGTGTACTGCTTGACGGCTAGATGAAGGACTTCTTCCTGCTTCGTAGCTGTAGAGCGCGGCCAGCCACGGATGTGCGATGCCTCTATTTTATGCTCCTTTATGCGAAAGTGCTTCGAAGACATGTTCTTGTCGCGCGTAGATGCAATCAGGCTAAACGTGTAGAGTCGAGAAGACAATGCGAGTGACGAGCACGTTTAAGTCACGGTACCTGTTGTGTGCAGAAAGTTGAGATAAGAGGATGATACGCCTAGATAGCAAGGAGATGTCTATGCTTACGGGTGTGTCGTGATCAGTAGCCGGCGTAATCTGGGGAAGAATGCCGAGGTCCACCACGGCTTCTCTTCTCCCCACAACCTCCACATACAGACAAACGACTGCGGTACGGATGCGCTTTAGATATGCTTTGTGTAGCGAGGCCAAGTTACGCGTCTCTCATGGCAAATATCGTACATCAGAAAGAGAGTAGTCGGGCCTGAGCTGCGACGTTATGACGAAATCAGCGTCGGAGTATTTTGGTGGGGTGTCACGTGGACTTTGACGCGTTCGTGCCTTCCAAAGTTCGCGTTGACCCACGTCGCATCGCGCCTTCGAGATCAGTGTTGGCGGCCACCAAATCTCTACACCATACAGCACAACATCCCCGACCGCGACCATGGAAGACACTACCATGCTAGAGGGCTCACAGGGTCTGTTCGAGGAGCTCACCTTCACCCTCATTCCCAATGGTCTCTCAGAAGAACGAATGCGCCAGGTACGCGACGCGTTTGGTCAATCGAGAAGTGGTACTAACGAGTCAAACAGATCGAAGACGATATCAAATCTGCTCACGGAACCGTCGTACCCTTCAGCGCACCCAAAGGCCGTATAGAGAACCTAGAGGAAATCAGCTACATTGTCTCCGAGACAGCCGACTTCCCCGACTACTACCGCGCCCTCGATCTCATGATACATGTCGTCAAGCCAACATGGATAGGCGCGTCGCTCCAGTCCAACAAAGCCAAGAACCCGCGAACATACAGTCCCGATCCTGCATTCATCATGAACGATGTGGTCATATGTTGCGGGGACATACCGAGCGGAGACAAGGAAGCGATTGAGGGCGGTGTACTGGCACTGGGTGGGCAAATCGCACCAAGCCTCTCCAAGTTTGTGACACATCTCATTGCACTCGACGTGAGTGAGCCGCGATGCCAG